TTACTACTGCGGCTGTGTGGTTGGGTGAGGCCTTTATGTTAAGTCAGTGTGGTGCTGTGAATCTCAAACTGCTTGTTTTATTCCTTGCAAACATCACATCGTTCACTTTCACTTTCAATTTGCTAAGACTGGTGGTGAGACTGGTGGTGACTTGAACAAACTTGAATTTACTTCATAGCTTTTTCATTTCCTGGTACATGTCATTTCACAGGCTCACACTCATATACAAACAGAGATGCGAAATCGTCGTCATGTACTGTTAATTTACGGTTTCGGCGAATGTTACTATTTTTAGATTTCACCGATAAAGAGTAAACTCAAACGTTTCGTGTTAACAGGTTTGTAACTGTTGACAAAATATTTAACGTTCTTAAAGATATATAGTTTTGTCACAGATGTATTAACAATTCCACGATATCCATTAATATGCACTCTGTTCGAACTTGTGAACATTATTGCCATTAGAACGTTAGTTTGAGTGAATCGTAGCTATGTAATTATCCCCCGCCCAACGAAGTTGGCGGGGAATATAGAAACGGGCTCCGTCCGTTCGCACGTCCGTCCGGCCGCACGTCCGTCCGTACGTCCTTCCGTACTTCCGTCCGTCCGTCACGTTTCGTTTCGTTTCCGGAGCTTAACTCATAAACCGTTCAATAAATTTTCATGAAACTTTACAGGTCTGTCAGGAACATGCTGAACTGGTGTTTTTGCTATTGAGAAATTTTAGAAATTTTAATTTTTTACGTTTCCATGGCAACAATATGGACTTAGTTTCTGTGAGGGTAGGGTTCGTTTCTGGAGCATTACTCATAAACCGTTCAATATTTTTTTTCAAACTTTGCAGGTCTGTCAGGTACATGCTGAACTGGTGCCTTTTTGCTATTGAGAAATTTTAGAATTTTTTATTTTTTACGTTTCCATGGCAACAAGATGGACATAGGTTCTGTGACGATAGGGTTCGTTTCCGGAGCATAACTCATAAACCGTTCAATATTTTTTCATCAAACTTTGCAGGTCTGTCAGGTACATGCTGAACTGGTGCCTTTTGCTATTAAGAAATTTTAGAAATTCTTATTTTTTACGTTTCCATGGCAACAAGATGGACTTAGGTTCCAAACTCATCTTTTTTTTTACAATTTCCATGACAAGTTCCACCTCAGTTAAAAAAGGTTAGGATTTTTTAGATTCAATTATGTCATAAATTCTGCAACAGGGGTGGGGGATATAGCCACGTGAGTGGCAAACTCTTGTTTATGTAAATTTTAAGGCGTGTGTCATTCCCACTTTATCTGATAAGCAATATTTGGCAAGCAATAAGTTTCGTTTGTGCTATGTTGGTATTTGACTTTGTAATAGTTTCGCCGAAGTCTGTTCATTGATATTATGGGACCGACCATTTCATTGTCGTAGGGCGGATGGTTGCCCACTTCAATAAATTATTTTCTTTGTGTTGGCATACAGGTCAATGGGGTGATGACATGAAAAGAAATCATATCCTTTATTTTCCTTTTTGCGTTTAGAAGAAAATCCCTTTTGGAGACTTAAACAACTGCATAGTTAAAGAGTAAAGAGAAATGTCGTCCCTTGAGGTCCAGCGCCACAACCAGACAGTACTTGAAAGCTTGGAACCAGGCGATCAGGTGGAATTCGTTCGAGGAGTGTACTCGCACTGGGCAGTATACGTTGGTAAGTGTACTGTAACAAAATATTACTGCACCTTCTTGTGTTTGTTTGCTTGTTTGTTGTTTAATGCTGCACTAAGCATATTCTAGGTTCACTGTATATGACGGTGGCCTGTACATACACGATTATTGATCAGACAATCCAGTGATTAATTTTATAATTTTTTTTATTTGCTGTTTAACAACACAATCAGCAATACCCCAGCTACGAAAAGGAGGTCTGTAAATAATCACGTCTGGTTCAGACAATCCAGTGTTTGACATTATGAACATCGATCCATGCAATTCCGGGGTATTCCGGATAAGAATATAGGTCCGAAGCGACCTATGATAGTGGTAGCCGGCCTCGGAATGAACGGCAAATGAGAACCGAAGTTAAACGAAAAGGTTTTAATCAAAGTAAATCACCCGTCTTTGTAGATAGAATAGATATATCTAAAGTGAATCTCCTTTGTGAGCTGATAAGGACAACACAGAAAGGTCAGGATGACCAAACTACTGTTGTCAGTCAGGTAGTCATCGATCTGGGCAACAATACAACTAAAGGGCAACAATACCACTCGTAGTACAAAGCACAGGCGTGATCATAAGCCTTGGTTTGGCAGTGTCTGTAAACAAACTCGGAAAAGGTTTTTCAAGGAAAACATATTTGTATAAAGGATAAGCCTAATTACAATAGAAGCATGTATCGTAAAACAAGTAAAGAGTATAAATGAATAATGAATAAATACATTCGTAAACATAGATTAAAAATTAAAGAAAACACCTCAGAGAAAACTCTCAAAGAATACTAGATGTTACTAAATAACAAAGAATGTGAACAAAATAGGAAGGTCCATTTAAGCACATTCTACAAATATCTTAAGAAGATCAACAGCAATCGTGAGGAAACGTACGAGGGCGTGTTCCCCTATGAAGAAGACGTCCCAGATTTTAAAGATGAGTTTTTGAATAATGAAATTACAGAGACGGAAATACTGACAGCCATTCAGGGATTAAAAACGAAACGGTCTTCTGGATTAGATCGTATTACAAATGAATGAATATACATTTTCTTCAGCTTCAAAATTATGACCGTTCTATTCTGAATATTTTAACTTTATTTTTACCACTGGCATATTACCTGATATTTGGCTAAGTGGAACAACTAGGCCTTTTTACAACTTAAGGGCGACTGCACTGAGCCCAGCATCTTCCCGAGGCAAGGGAGTTAACTGACTTTAAAAGTCAAGTTGCCACCCTTGCCGAACTAGGCTTAAATTCCTGGGCTTGATCGCAGCGCCACCAGTGGTTACTACGAGATGTCCCTTCTAAGCCTCTCCTGTGGACCAATCAGATTTCATCACTTGCATTTGTTTCAAACAAAATGGCGGCGCCCAGTCAAGACGATCTGATCGATAATCAAGATCTATATTGTGATAGAACGGGTCTTACATCGCGAAGAGCATCAAATCATATGAGCACCTTGATTACAAACATGAAAAGGTTTGGAAAATATCTGTTGACAACGAGTTGGCGCTGCCCATGCTTTGCAAATCCTGCAATCGACCGAAATCTGCACGACAGTTTATGAACCGGATTTCGATTTCATTGCGCGATTCTGATTGGAATATGCACTGACTCGTTAGTCCAGCCAAAATTATACTCCATAATACCAGCCTAGTTCGGCAAGGGTGGAAACTGGACTTTTACAATCAGTCAACTCTCTTGCCTCGGGAAGATGTGAGCCCAGCTCATACAGGCCAATTTCAATTCTTAGTTGCCTAGGGAATTTTTTTACAAGTATAATACACAAAAGATAATACCGGATTTATGGAAGAACATAATATGATATCTCATATACAGGCTGGATTTCGAAAAAGGATTCTCTTCAATAGATAACCTGATTATTCTGTAAACTTTACTCCAATTTCAAAAGTAAAAGTCGAAGAAACTTGATTATTTATTTCTCTAAGGTGTTCGACAAAATATGGAGATTGGGGCTTCGGACTAAAATGCTTAGACACGGTGTTAAAGGTAAAATACACTCTTCAAGAAAAAGAAAGGCACATGTAGTATGTAGTTCATTGAACCTGACGACACAAAAAATTCGGTACATAAATTGGATATATGTTATTGGAAAAAGTGGGGACCTGGTATATTTTTGAAGAGTGTAAATAATCTAATCACAAATATGTACTGTAACATTAATGTACTGTGTGAAGATAAGCGGTAATGTGTCGTACTTTGTACCTTGCTTTACTGCCGCTATACAATGATAAAACCTGTACAGTACTGTAACGACTAGAAACTATATGTTAATATAGAAAAAATATAGACAAATTTAACTTTTGTCAGTATCGGATAGACATAATTGACAGCTAATTATATAGGTATCCCTTTACACCGAAATAGAAAAATGAATACATCTGTTATATATATTGCTGAAAGTGACGTGAAAGCTACAATGAGCCCATTAAAACGTGCGAGAAATTTACATTTACCGCTAAATTGCCTTATCGAAACATTTGATACAATTGTTGTCCCTATTTTAGCCTATGGTTTCAAAGGCTTAATCATATCAAAAGTAACTATAACTGAGGTCAAACGTATATGTTTGATTCCCCTTATAATAACAAAGCCTACATTTTATTTCAACTTGAGAAAACCCTAAACGAGCTATTTTGATCGATAAATACGATTGGCCAAATATCTTTAAGTTCGCTAAACTAATGAACACCAAACGCATATCGTATCAGAGACAATGAGCTAACACCCAAACGGGAATTCCGGGTGAGGTCCCCATCAATCGACGTCAGTGTTTGTAACCAGAGGCAAATTAATCCATCGGGTGAGCAGGATCGGTGCCTTGTTTGATTGCATGTCACGTCCCGAGACTTCGATCCGATTCATTTGAAACACTGGTTGCCGGGCATCCCTAAAGGATGGAAAGTGTCATGAAGATATTTTTGGGCACTGCTGTGTACCTTTGTTTAAACATAACAATCCCAATCCCTGAGCCATCACATTTCTGCTGACCCGTGAAGATCTGGGTTAGAATTGGTCTTCAACAACCAATGCTTGTCGTAAGAGGCGACTAACGGTATCGGGTGGTTGGTTGATGCATGTAATCGTATCCCAATTGTGTGGTTCGATGCTCATGATGTCAAACACTGGATAGTCTGGTCCAGAGTCTATTATCTACATATTATTATATGTTACATTATTTACGTTATATAGCTTGAATGTTGCTGAGTTCAGCGTTAAACAACAAAAACAAAACAAAACAAAATAACAAAGCACATATATTTAACGGTAATAGTGGACACTTTTATTCAGGTGACAATGAAGTCGTGCACTTGTCTGGAGACGATGGTGCAAGGGGAAGTGATATGGGTCACACATTCACAATAAGTGGAGTAGAGTTTGGCAAAGCAACTGTTCGCAGAGATAATTTCTGGGATGTTGTTGGTGACAGCGAGGTGCACAAAAACAACTCAAAGGACGAGAAACTGGAGTAAGTTTCGTTTGAATAACGCTGTAAGACAGCGGCATATGTATAATCGAATCGGCACCAGACACACCACCAGTGAGTGTTATGTAAATGCAACCTCAATATCGGTTGCCATGAAAACGCTTTATTTGAAATTATAGACAGTAGCTATTGCAAATTGTTGTCGCTCTTTTCATCTTCTCCATTATTGATTGCCAAGGAATTAATGTCAAATTGTCACATGGTTGTTTCATGTATAATAATATATATTGTATTTACAGACACTTCAAACCATCTGAGATAGTAAGAAGAGCACTGTCCAAAATTGGAGAGGTTGGGTACAACTTGATCTTTAAGAACTGTGAACACTTTGCCTCATGGTGCCGGTACAACAAAGAGCAAAGTGATCAGGTCTGTGCCTTTGCCAAGTTCATTTGTCTTTCACTAAGCATTGTGAAATGGATATCCCACGCTATTGGGATACAATTACATGCAACAACCAAGTAGGCGAGTCTGATTAACCTATGCTGTTAGTCGTCTTTTACGCCAAGCATGGGTTACTGAAGACCTATTCTAACCCAAGTCAGGAAGGTCTTATAATCATTGCAAGCGTCCATGCTGCATCTTGGTATAACGTCGGCACCGGAAAATAATGAGTCTCTATTAACTGGCGAAATAGCTTCCATTGGGCGTAAAAGTAAAAAAAGTAGGGAAAATTATATAAGTGGATCACTGAAAATCAGGCATGACACCAGGTGTTCGCGAAAAGGGTGAGCATGTCCTTCTTTACCGGTAGCATCCGCCACTAGCACAATTTGCAGGAAGAGTAAGTATTTGTTGCCTGACGCCGTACAGCAGTACTCCGGCCATAGGACATCTGCTTGTAAAGTGATATGTTATGTCAGGGACATGTTTTGTTTCACCATAATAACATTTTAGCAAATATCTTAGACATACAAGTTTTTACTTTTGGCCCCGCAACACTTTATTTTTCAGAAGAGCCAGCATGTTCTGTAACATTATGTTTCTTTTTGCAAATTCCTATGACAAAAGATGTTTTGCCTAGGATTTTCGGGAACACATTTTTATTGTAGAAAACAAATGACAAATAATTCTTTTCGTTTTCTTTCAGGCTGATGATTTGCTCACTGGCCTAGCTGTGGGAGGGGCCCTTGTGGCGGCATTTGGAATTGCTGCCTGGCTCGAAAGTGGTCAAAAGAAAGACAGAGAAAAACGATCAGAGTATTGATATGTTTAATATCCACAAAGACGTTGTTATGAGTGAAACAGAACATACCAATTGGCAAAACTGTAGAATGTTGTGGCGAATGCGCCATTTTTGCTCATATATAGGTAGCGACCTGCAGCGTGCTACATCATTCGTGACCAACTCCAACCATTCCGAGTCTCGATTTAGTTTTGGCTATAAACACATGAACTGCGTGAAACAGGAACGATAACTCTTATTTTATAGTAGTGATATGTAGGCGCTACAACAGTTTCTAAATATATATGAAGAATATTGTGTGACTATTGTAATATCCAAACGCGATTGGAAATCCGAGTTAGACATTGTAAGACCTAATTGTAAGAGGCGACTTTGTGGATCGGGTGGTCAGGCTCGGTGACTTAGTTGATTGCGTGTCAGTGTACCCCGATAGTGTGGAACGTTGCTAACAATATTAATTATCTGCTTTGTCTACAAAAATCTCAAATATTTTCAGGTCGCCGTTATATATGTTGAACAACAAAGAAATGTTATATTAAGTTTGTTGAAATGTAATGTGTAAAAAAACAAACGCTTACAATCTTATCAACGAATGCAAGGAATGTAACCTTTGTGTTAACCATAGTATTTGACCCTGCTTCGCGATGTTGCAGCTGATAAAGCTGATAGCTTATTGCACAGTGGGACCCGGCACAGTGGGACCCGGCACAGTGGCGTTAAACAACAAACCAAAAAAAATATAAACAATTGCACAATGGTTATTTGCACGTACAAGAAATTATATCAGATAAAGGGTAAAGTAATTTCTGAAGCCACGATTGTTACTTTAAATGATTGTTGATCATACTGACCACCAAATTAACACAGTGTTTGAACAATCGATAGATGTATATAATATAGGTTTTGTAAGGATTATTCTGGGCTTGTGGATACACTAGTTACTTCTTTTCGGCAGGTCAGCTTTAATAATTGTATTCAATGTACATTCCATTTTATTACCGAATTGGCGCAATATCCATGTGACGTCATGTATTTTTTTATTATTTTATGCAACAGATATTTATTTCTTCGAGGCCATTCTCTTTATTTAAAATGACACTTGCAGCCTGCTTCAAGATATTTTATGATATACCTTTATTTATTTTTTTGGGTTATTTTTTGTGAATTTTCAATTTTATTGTAGAAAACACAAACAGGTCACGATCGTTTCTCTGACTGAACTCAGGTTGAGGTATAGTGAGTGAGTGAGTTGAGTTTAACGCCACTTTTAACTGTATTCCAGTTATATCGCGGCGTGTCAGCTTTCATGTGGGATGAAAGCCCGAAGTGATGCAGGTCTCGGACGTTTACCACTTCGGTGAAACCCACGAGCACGGGTATGGTGCTGACAAACCTAGAAACATAATCAGGTTGAGGTATAGATATCATGGCACACGAAAAGGTGTATGAAATGTGAAAACAATGTGATGGTCATAATTGTCATAATTGTACCTGACTGAAAGTTATGAGATTTTTTTGTCGTTGCCTACTTGTCCGTCGTATATATATTATCCTCATAATCCACTGGACGATAAATTTGGGTATAATAAGAATGGCAAACTATGTGACATACATGCGTCCAGCTACTGTCGGTGAGATTAATACTCCAGACACTCCAGGCGTGACAGATATAACTCAGTCTAGCACAGAAAGGGTTAATCAGGATAACGGTAACAAACTGCGTCCAAGGGTAAAACAGGACAGGAGATAGGGATGTGGCCAGGGACCGTCAGATTGCAGTGACAACCAGAATGAACAATCATTATTATTCTGGAATGAAAACGGGTTATTGTCAAAGATAGCGAACAGTGACTTTTTATTTATAAGTTTGATGTTGTGGGACTGTATGAAACATGGACTAGAAACTTTGATCTCTCTCTGTTTTTTAGTGTGTATGTACATTTTACTGTTGATGCTGTTAGAACAGCGACACACGGCAGGCTCTTAAGTGGTATTTCCCTGTTAGTTAGAGAACCAATTATCCATTATGTGAAAAAAATTCTCCAAATTGTGTATCTGTGTTACCTGATAAACATTTTCGTAACATAAAAAAGGATGCACTTTAAGGATCTGTCTATATAAATCCGGAAAATTCATCATTGTATAAAAACAGTGATTCATTGTGGAATGTTAGGAGATTGTATATACCTCCCAAATACTACTTAAAATGTTAAAAATCTTGCAACGTTTGTATATAAATCAATGCAGCAAAGACAATCATTTGGGTGAACAATCAATGCACCAATGTATATATGCTGTCACTCTCTCAAGCAATGATGTAACTGTAGAATTGGCCTATGACCTCCACTATTTCATGAATAAAGATTGATTGATTGACCTTGTTCGTCTGGTATAAATGTATGTAAAAAGTATGTATACATTTTGTATGCGATGAGTGTCTTCATGTACTGTCAACCCAGTTTGTGGGGAGTTCATTGGGTCCAAATAACACTATTATCTACATTGCGCGAAGGAAAGACAGTGTCAAAGCAGTGTCTAGACCATACCCTCACAACACGTGGAATGACAAATGAAGTAAATGAAGATTGGCCACTGTATAAGAATACTAGTATATACTACGGTCACTGCATTGCAGCACACAGTTAACGACTTATTGTTAATTGTATGCATCCTCTTTATTATACTGTTAAAATACGTTTAAAATAACAATAATGCAAGTTTTGTATTTACACTGCCACAGCTACATTTTATGTGACACAAAAAATATCACGAGTACTGTTCATTGGATCAATTAATGTCATCCACAGTAAACACACAGCCGGCCATGCGTCGAAAACGTAATAACGAAATCAGGAACGTCGTGCTGGCGTGCAGCAGAAAGGTACTGAGAGTGAGCGAGATCCACGTGTACTTCATGTGAACGAATGTTGTATTGTTCTGTTACACCACCATCACATACATCCCACTGATGATATATTATATTGTTGGGGGCACCATACTCATGTCTTTGTAACAAGTTTGGTGATGCACTTCAGTGAATAATATCACTCTTCATCCCACTGGTTGAGGCACAGGTGGCCCAGACGTCTAAGGCGCCGCGATTCGCTGTGCAGAGTTGCGTCCTTTGGGCACACCAGAAACCTATGATTGTGGGTTCGAATTCCGGTTCGCCCTGATTATGTTTCTAGGTTTGTCAGCACCATACCCGTGCTGGTGGGTTTCACCGAAGTAGTAAACCTCTAAGACCTGCATCACTTCGGGCTTTCCTCCCACATTAAGCTGACACGCCCCGATATAACTGGAATACTGTTAAAAGCGGCGTTAAACCCAACTCGCTCGCTCGCTCACTCACTCACTCACTAACTCACTCACTCACTCACTCACTCAATTCTATTGTTACCTTAAGCAAACATAAACAATCACTTAGTACATGTATCGTGTCTGTAACCACTACCATCGTCCAGAAGCAACATGGTATGGGATTTGCCATCCACTTGAAATTCAGAATTATACTGTTGTTAAAACCCCGTGGAGTTCACAAGGAACACATATTTTTTATGTAAGGCGACTTATTGCAAGGTTTATTGAGATGCATCTTCACCCATGAAGATCCGGGGTAGAATAGGTCTTCTGCAATCCTTGCTTACTGTAAAAGGCGACTGTACTTGTCGTATCGGGATCTGGTGGTCAGGCTCGCTGACTTGGTTGATGCATGTCATCGATCCCAATTGCGTGGATCGATGTTCAGGATATCAATCACTGGATTGTCTTGTCCAGACTCGGTTATTTGCAGACCGCCGTCATTTAGCTGGCATATTGTTGAGTGCGGAGTTAAACAACAAACAAAACAACCAACCAACGTGACATGCTGCGCTTATGACCAATCACTGGAGTGTCCGGTCCAGACTAGATTTTTTAAAGGGCCATCATCACATTGCTGATTGCGAAGTTAAACAATAAACATTCTATTCGTCATTGGTCAAGTAATTCTTAAGTAAATATGGAATTGTTGCTAACATATATAACAATGCAGGAAAATCTACAACGCGTCAGTTTGTTCGCACGCAATTAGGATTCCTGGAAATTCGCGTCTGGGAAAACCCAATGTCAAGATGACAAGATGACGCTACGTTAAGACGTATGTCAACAGGTGTAGTTCGTAGAAAAGTTAAAAGTAAATGGGATGACGCTCAAGATTTCATCTGTTAACTCAGGTATATCCACAAGGATATCCTGATCAAGGTCAATATCAGCAAGGTTGAAAATCTCAGTTGTCCTTTTTGTAGTAGGATTTTGATACCTTCGGCACCTTTCGTGGAAGGTGCCCTATGAATATTCATGAGCCTAGTGTTATGCTAATAGACATGCATGACGTCACAATGAGAAAGAAGTCATTATGCATGCATGTTAAGAATGTAAAGAATGTGGTCTTTGTTAAAATGTCTTAGTTGAAGAATTCTTTGGGAATACAAGCTATTTGGAATGTAGTCGGGGTAGATTCCTTCAAATGCATACTAGAATGATCATCCTCAAATGGACTGTCACCCTTTCATGAAGAAATTTGGATATGTGTTAACACCCTTCTCGGCTTAGCGTAGCCTATCTCTCTTCACCTTAATAACACAAAACGAATCATTTTAAATGTTAATTATAGACAAGATGCCAAAAGGTTATCTAACCAATCAGCTCACTTTTCTCTTTCAACAGCCAATGAATTTAAAACTTCTTCTTCTAGATATAATGAATGCGCACATTCGTTTGTCCATCCATTTTCAACTGTCGAGTTGAGTTGGGAAAAGGTCTATGTGTGTGTGAACGTCTCATCATGGCAACAATGATAGCAGATAGGTTTGAATTGTTTTATTCCAAGTTCTCCCCATTCAGTCAACACTATGCTACTGCCATTACTATCGATGATAAAGAATTTAAATGTTCTGAACAATTTTGCATGTATAGCAAAGCAGTGACGTTTGAAGATTGGGACACAACCGAGGAGAGTTTAAATTATTCATCACCTGCAGAGCAGGAACGACTGGGTAAACGTGTTAGACAGTTCAACCAATGGAAGTGGGACAGTGTTAGCTGTGATGTAGTGTGAAAAGCATCTCTTGCAACATATCGTCAGTCAGCTTACTTAAAAAATATTCTGATCAACTCTTTTCCTAGAATTTGTTTGTCTACTGAATTCTGCTTTGGTTGTATGTTTGATGGAGAAGGAGAACAAGTTCACACTTGTCGTGACTTTTCCGAACAAGACAAAGTCAATCAGTTCTTTAACATGGGCATGCCTGAGGTAAATGATAATCACATGATTGAAAAGTGAATTCAACTGGAACCCCTCTTTAACACACGTGTCGACATGCAAAATATGTCAATATCAATGTACAGATTATCAATGCACAATTGAAGACAGCTAAATGGATTCACATGTGTTGCTGCAATTAGAACGAGTGTTTACATGAATAAAATACTCTTCTGATCACTGTCTGATTGTTTTGTGATTATTGCTTATGATATATTTGTTGATCCATAATGTCTGTACTGACTGAGAAAGACTTAAGGAAGCTTAAACGTCGAGTTTGGACGTATTCAAGATGCCACCTTATTTCGAATGTCCCATTGTATTCAATAAACTGTTGTCATAGAGTCCTATGTTTCTTTCATGTATTGAAGTATAAACTATTTAATCAGCTTGCACATACTCATGTTTTCTAATGGCGACATACTATAAAACATGGAACATTCATTTATTCAAACCATTTTCAGCGGAAGAAGCTAGTGAGGAGAGTGCGTCTTAAGATAGACATGGGTAAAAAGTCCAGGCATCTGACCCGAGATATATTTGAAACTAGTGTACGCCCAAAACTAAAAAGACAAGCAAAGGAAAAAGGTGGACAAAATAGAAATACCACGAAGAAGACAAAAAAAAAGAATGAAGTCAACCCGAAGGCAAGCTACATTTAAAGCAAAATCTAAAATGCAATCTGTCCTACAAAGGATCAAGGATCTGACGGAAAGATGTAATGATATTGGGGAAAATCATCTGTAAGGCATCATAGAGTAGGAGGTACCAAGCTCTACGTGTAGAAATTGATTTTGAGATGCCATGCCATGCTCAGACATAAGACAACTGTTCATCTGCCACTACCCCTACCAGCACCACCCCAAATAGCAGACACGTCTTACTGAGACCCAGTGTTACAGTAGTCACCATGGGGTCAACATCTTGTCCCGAATGTAGGAAACACTTTTCCAGACATGATAATGTGATGAGACAGAGAAGACAGATGCATCAGGCCCTTCACACCCTTCATGCCATTCACCCGCCCCCCCCCCCCCCCCCCCCCCCCTCCTACTCACACCCCTCCACTTCCTCCTCCTAACATCCCTCCTCTTCTTCTTCCTCCTCCTCCGCCTCCTCACATATATCCCCCTCCCTCTCTTCAACAGATACATAATACTGCTCTACCATTCTATTTTCTATTCCTTCTAATATGGTCTTGGCTGGGCCAAGTGGTTGTGGAAAGACTATGTTTGTTTATCAGATACTGAAAAGAGGACCCATCAAACCAATACCTAACAACACCATATGGTGTTACACTGTGTGACAACCTCTTTATAATACTATTAGTGAGTGAGTGAGTGAGTATGGTTTTACGCCGCTTTTAGCAATATTCCAGGAATATCACGGCGGGGGACACCAGAAATGGGCTTCACACATTGTACCCATGTCGGGAATCGAACCCGGGTCTTCGGCGTGACGAGCGAAGGCTTTAACCACTAGGCTACCCGACCGCCCCATTCTGTTAGTAAAACAATACCATATATAACATTTATCAAAGACATTCCTTCCAATCTACAGGATGAACATTTCGTTGATGCCCGGAACAACAACATGATTGTTTTAGATGACTTGATGTACCTCCCATCACAAAAATGTGATTAATGTTCTGTTATTGCCAAACGTGTTTCCCAGAGGTGAAGAGTCACGCGACATTGCTCTGAACTCTCATATGTGACTTTATTCAATTCTCCAGTCGATAGACAACAGGTGAACTTATTTGCCAGACGCATTTATCCTCAAAACTCATGTCATTTGATGTCAGTATATAACGAAGCTGTGCAACACACTTATGGGTATCTGACTGTAGACCTAAGACCTTACAGTAGTGAAAAGGAACGACTACAACTTGATATTTTAACAATGAATCTAAAAAAAGCAGACAAACCCGTCAACACAACCCCATTTGACCCGTGACAACAGTGCTGTAAAAGTGCTGATTCAACCAAATAGCACCCAGATGTATGGAAACTGTCATCATCACACCACTACATCGGCACGTGAGGCAAACGTTCATACTAGCCAGACCTTCAACA